ATTTGGCTCCAAAATATCCTGGATGTTTTGAAGGATAACATTCAAAATGTTGCCAAACTGCATTTTTTGGTTGCCCATCATGATTTTTTGAACTATTTATATCTACATCAATATTGTGATTAAAAAAAATTTATATATATTTTTAAGAAAAAGAAAAATTATATTAGAACAAATAAAAAAATTATTATATTTTTGTTGATTTAAACTAAACCAATAATTTAATTAATTAATTAATTAATTGTCAGAACAATAATATCAAAATGAAATGAACTTTTGATAAAAACATTCACTTGAAGAGAAAATGATTTTGATAATGTAGTAATTTTATGGATCGCGGAAAATTAAATCGGAGATGATTTACAAAAAGAAAATCGGAAAAATTCATTAATTCACGGAAAATACCTGGAGTTTCGAAAATAGTTTAGAAGTTTTTTCGAAAGTAGTTTAGGGTTTCTAATATAGATATAAAAAATATATATAAAAAACTTTTAAAGTTTTTTTTTGATATACAATATAAATCATATGATGTGAGACATCCCATAGTCCCATGCATTCGTTGAAACAAGGGTAGACTGTGTGAATATCGCCCCTTTTTAATCATTGATCGGTGGACCAGAAAATTGGGAGTCTTGGCTGTTATAACATAATACGCCCATCATTAAGGCGTGTTTCGAAAATAGCTTGGTTTTGTGATAAATCAATCCCCAAGTTTTTGGTCCAAAATCAGAGTTTTGGAGTTAGTATTAATATTGGATCCTTTTCTATTTTCTGCACCTTATATATGGTTTATCTAATATTTTATCGATCATATGGTCATACAAAAAAAAACTAATTTATTTCTATAGATAGTAATTTGATTTTTTTTTTTTTAAAAAAAATATATATGCACATTACTGTAGCTCCGGACTTTTGGGAGAAATTTCCCGAATTAAAAAAATTATCCAATTTCGAAAAACTTTGGGGTGATTAATTACCCAAATATAAATGAGGGACATCCCACTTTAAAAAGAAAACACAAAATCAAAAAATCAATAAACCTCTTCTTACATTGAACTTTATCTATACATAAGGACATATAAACCTATACAATGTAAACTTCGAGTCAGTAAACTCGCCTTTGTTGCGTTTCCGTAATTATATATAAAATTGCTACGAGCATGTTTAATACTCACGGAATTTGTAAATATTGCATGTGACATTTTAGTGAACTTTTCTAAAACCATGTCTTACGTCTTGGTGGTTTTCGCATAAACATTTGAATGAGATTCATCCACAATATTACAATTTTCTTATAGATCTGGGCATGGATAAATGATGCCGCTTTTACACTTGTTTGCTTTATCATGAATATAATACCTTATTCCTTTGGATTCTATCATTTACATTACTAGATGTTGATCAACAATAACCATAACCTATTCCATCCACCAGGATACAATGACTTGTTCATGTGTCTTTTTAAGGCAATTAACGCCAGTTCAAGAATTCTTCTGTGAACTCATTCCAAAATGGCACATTGAAAGTGATGATTATTCACAAGGATTTCATATATTTTGGGATTACGACTCATACTTTACGACAAAATTTTGCTTAGATAAATCAGAAAAGTTGAATTGAATTTTTGAATTGAACAGAGTTATCCATTATTTCATATTTGAAGTTTTTTAGTTGATATATTCGGTAATTGCAAAATGGGGGATAAATAAAAAAACCCCTTATTTATTAGAGTTTAAGTTTATTTTCTTGGGAGGGCCAAAAAAACATTCTAAAATCTGAGTTACAATATTTTTTGGGAATTGATTGGTTAGAGCGAGATTTTTCCGTTAAAATTAGTCTTAAAGGGAAAAATTACTTCTAAAAAAAAAATCTTAATATTATTCTTCAAATAGCCTTTTTTCTCTTCTTTTCAGATTTATTTTCCATTTTTGAGCAAAGATTTACTTTTATTTGTTTGCTTTTTTTTTATATGGTGCATTATTTTTAAATAAATAAATAATTTATGTATGATAATAAATATATATTTAAGGATATATGAATTTAAAATTTTAAAAATTTTTCAAAAAAAAAAACCAAATAATTCAAAGAAAAAATAAATCTTTAAATTATAATATATATTATTTTCCAAAAAAATTTTAATTGTCTAGTTATATTATTTTTTTTTTTTTCTCAAAATAATCAATCCTTTTCCCAAAATGTACAGTCCATCCCGTAGCGGTGTTCCACCACTCCAACCAGCTAATTCAAACATTCATCATAATGAATATCGTGGAGAATATCCACCACCACATCTCCATCCACTTCATGATGAATATTATCAATCACCACAACTTATTCCTCCACGTATGGGCCCTCCTTCAGTGCATTTACATTACGCCTATCCACCGCCACCACCACCACCTCTTCCTTCTTATTACATGCATCACCCTGCACTTATAAATTCAAATGTCATACAATCAGGTCCAAATAACCCAACAGAAGAACGAGAAGAATCACAGAGGCGTCAAAAATCAAATAATAATAATAACAATAACAATAATAATAATAATGGTATTCCTTCCAATTCTTCAATAAAAGGAAGTAGTAGCAGTGGCAGCAACGAAAAAAATAAACATACTACAAGGGGTACTCAATTGACACCATTACCTAGAACAAGGTTTAAGAAGGAGCGTTTTGCAGCATTTGAGCCACACACCTACGCCGTAGAAGCAAAACGGTTGGTTTAATTGTTAATTATTTGATAGCAATGATTATTTTTTATAATTCATCTTACATTAATTAATTGTTTAATTATATTTAGTTCTTATTCACTACTAGTTTGTCAGCAACCTTTAAGAGCTCGTATGTGTGGTTTTGGAGAAAAAGACCGTCGACCAATTGATCCACCACCGATCGTGCAATTGCTAATAACTGATAGCAATGGACACACAGATAATAGGTAATTTGAAAAAACAATAAAATTAGGGGTGAATTGATGATTTGTGAGGAAGATGATAAAAAAACATTTGTATACTATAAATAACATATAAATATGTTTAATAAGATTTAATTTTTTAAAAAAATTACTTTTTATTATAGTATGATTCAAAATCCATTTTTTGTTCTACATGTAACATTATGGTCAGAGGATGGTAGAGAGGAACGTAATGTCATTAGTAGTCCACCTAAAACAACTCGTGTACTTATGGGATCACTGGTATCATCACCAGCAATACTTAAGAATACATTAGGTCAACAGGGTTGCTATTTTTGTTTTCCAGATCTTTCTATACGTACAGAAGGAAAATACACTTTAAGATTTTCACTTATGAAGTTGGGAAGGTTAGACAAGCAATTGTAATAGAAAACTTTAATTTATTATTAATATATATTTGGTTCAAATTTGTTATAAATACTAATTATTTATAATTCTTGAAAAAAAAACAGTGAAGATAGACTGATAGATACAAAAACGGAAATAATTGCAACAGTATTTTCTGAACCATTTACAGTCTATTCAGCCAAGAAATTTCCAGGAATGACCGGTAAACTGTTCTACAAAATTAAAAAAGAAAACCATTATAATTGATATTTTTGTAATTTTTATAATTAAAGTTCTAATTTAATTATTATTAATAATAATATTATTAAAGAATCAACGGAATTATCGAAAGCGTTTGCTAAACAAGGATTAAAAATTCCAATTAGAAATGATGTTAGGCCTAGAAAAGCTGCAGACGACGGATAATCTTTTAGTAAATATGTTTGATAAATTGTCTATTTATAATAAGTAAATATATACACATACATCCATTACGACTTTGTTTTTCACTCCGTTAATCATTCATTAGCACGGTTTTTTAATATTAAATTTATCTCGTATATTTTTCTCTGTATTATTATTATTATTGCTGCAGCTTTCTTTCACCGTCATCATCTTCTTCTTATTAGCATAGCTAATCTGCAAATATCATTCATTGCATTATTAGCATATAGTATTCATTAATATTAATAGTAAAATATAAAATGTAAATGCATATATTATATATAATAAATAAATAATAATAGTAGCCCTTCATTTAGTCATGTGATTTTTTAAGTGTGTACTACTTATAACCAATAATTTATTAAAAAAAAAAATATATATCTTTTTTAATAAATTTCTTTTAAAATGAGTCCTGAAAAAAGTGTTCAATCCATTGATAATAACTCCTCAAAAACTTTACCTCCTGAAATAGAAGCTTTACGTTTAGCTGCTTTATCTACAAGAAAAACTTCTAAAGAAAAACAAAAATCGGAAAATTCAAATTTACCTGTTCCTTCTTCACCTCCACCTAAATCCTTTTACACAGAAGACGATTCTTCAGAACGTGAAGAAGGTGAATTAAGTGATACTGATTCGATCGACGATAACAAAAAACTACAATTACCACAACCAACACTTCAAAATCCAGTTCAAAATGTCATGGAAGACATAACATACAATACTAATAATAATCAACAGATTACTATCAAAATGTCAAAAGGTAACAGAAGATTTGATAAAAAAAATTAAAAATTATTATAAAAATTAAATAACTAATGATTCACACATTTATTTATAATGATTGATAATGATAATATTAACACCAATAAAAATAATACAATATAAAAAAAGCTGAAATGGAAGAAACCACTAGACAATCAATTTCTAAATTATATAACTATGGTGCTACACCCGATGACTTAATTCAAGAAGGAATTCCTTTAGATGTAGTTGTTAGGTTCTCAAGAGAGTTAAATTATCCACTTCCTCCTCATTTATTCAATATTAAAATTCCCGGGTATCCTTTATCGATGCCTAGACAAATGGAAATTGATCAACCTATGACAATTTCGAACATCACCGCTGCTGCTGCTGTTATACAAGAAGCTGCATCAAACAATTCAAATCTAAAAGGTTCTTCTTCAATACTTCCATCAAAAAGTTCTCATTTCAATATTACAAAGAATTCGCAATCTTCAGAAAATATAAAAGCTTTACCACAGCATACAACAACAACAACATCATTATCATCAACCACAACAACTACAACAGCATCATTATCATCTAATTTTGCACTTTCTCAACCAAACACAAATATGAACCCAACTTATAAGCCTAAACCGATCGATTCATTAAGCCCCCAGTTAAATCATACTTCCTCTATAATGCCATTACCACCCACCATCACAAAATCTCCACAAAAGCAAAAAACACCATTATCATCACAAAGAGGATCATCTACTTATCATCACCATCATCATCACCATCATCATCAATCTAATTCTTCGCCATATTCTGAAAAAAAATCTTTTATATTAAATCATGAGAATAGTATGATTATTGAATTGAGCGACGAATCTGATACTGAAAACCCTCAAACAAGCAATCATGATAAACCGGCTTCAAAATCTGAAATTGATAATGATAAATTAGCAAAATTGGAAGCAAAACGTAAATTGGAGGAGAAGGAACGTGAAATAAAGTTAATGAATGAATTAATAGCAACTCAGTTAGAATTGATTAATAAGAAAAAAGGTTTAACTCAATCCAGTTCCTCGTCCCCATCTACCCCGACGATCACGACCACAATTACTGCTACCGCTACTGCTAATTTAAAAGCTACTTCAACAACAACCACTCCAACTTCACCATCAACCATAAATCCAATTACTGAAAATCTTGCTGTAATTCGAGCTGAAATTGATGCTTACGAAATAGCAAAGTCGACTGTTACCGATCTTAAAAATAAAATCTCATCAAAAGAAAAAGAAATTGAGAATTATCAGTTAAATTTACATGAACATGATAATAATATTGAAAAGTACAGAAAACAATTATTGGAAATAAACAATCAGAAGAATGATATTATTAATAAAAAAACCGAACTTCAAAAAAAACAAACAGATCTTGAAGCACAAATGTTGAAAATAAAAGAAGAGTTGTCCGTTCTTCAGGAAAATGAAGAAAAACTCACAAAAGATGAGGAAGTTTGTCAGACAAAAGAAAAAGAAATCAACAGCAGTAAGATTATGTTAACAAAAAATATAAATAATTTAGCTGAAATCATACAAAATTTAAAAAAAGATCTCGCGACAATGAATAAAGAAATGATTTCCAAAAAAGACAAGCTTAAAAAACTGGCTGAAAAAATGCCAAATAAACAGAAAAATGAATCATCAGAAACTTCTACTACGAACGCCACCATTCTAGATATTCAATCAAACATCACCACTATCAATGATAATGGTAAAAGAACTATATCATCCGAAAGTTCTGGAAATTTTCAACAACAAGATTCTTTGATGAAAAAGCCAAAATTAACAATAAACCAGTCCGAAGTTGATCAATTGGGAAAACGTTTTGATGAACTTAGAGATCAAAACAAAAAGATTCTTGAAAACATTAGTAATTTAAATAAACAAAAGAACGATGGTAAAATTTCAATGAAGGGTGTTACAGCAACTAATGGTGAAAACTTTCAATCATTAAACACTAATAACAATCTCCTAAATAATAACAAAAATAACAATGTCAAATCATCACCTGCAATCAGAAAAGGAAGCAACGGACCATCAAATTATTCTGCAAATAATTATGTTAATCAAGATGGTTCATTAGGAAATGATGATTTTGAACCGTTAGTTCCATATGCGAGTCCTCTTATGGCATTCAAATCATTTCGGTTCCATCCCAACTATAAAGAACTTGTGGGTGACTACAAATCTATGACATATAGTAATTCGCTTAATGTTCAACACAAAGTATGCCTTTGGGAATCACATAAAAAAGGAAGATGTAATGATTTTGAATGTATGTCACAACATTGGCGACAGTTTAAAATGAATGACGAACAAGTTATTCAGGATATGGCTTCATACGTGGAAGGTAGAACCCCTGAAGAAAAAGAAATTTACCGTGCTGGGATGATCAAATTATTAGAAGATCTTAAAGAAAAGGGTATCGTTGATTTAGAGGAATCAGTTGAAGCCATTAAAAAATACCGTAATGATTTCTGTAATAGTCATAGGATTGACGATTTACCTGGCCCGCATTATATTTCATTTAACAAAAAATTCCCATTAAACCATAACAAAGAGGTACAACAGCATGATGTTCCTGCCTCACCAAGATCTGACACTAATTATGATTACATTTCTGAATCAGAAACAAGTCTTATTTTACCACCATCACCAAACCTAGCATTTATTCTGGATTATAACATTGATTCAGATACAAATCTTGCTTATCAATCTTCTCCAAACAACGTACAAATGTCTGACGACAACAACAACAGTGATGACAGTGACGATAGTGATGATAATGATGCTTCCTACATCAGAGAACCAGGATCAAATGATGTTTCACCATCATCTTCAAATGAAAATCAACTAAATGTGTATCAAGGTGAAGCACAAGAGGAGCATACATCAAATAATTTAGCTGGAACATCTTATTATATGTCTACTGATGGTGGTTTTGAAGCAGATTCAGAGAATTCAGATAATGGAAATGACAATCAAAATTTTGAAGAACCGGTTACCCCTGATGATCCAGGTGTGGAAGCCTCAGAACCAATAGAACAACAAACAACAGAACCTCAACAAGGAGGTTATAGTGGTTTGGGGGTTATTGGTAGATTATATAATTGGTTTCGTTAAATAACTTACCTTCAACTTTTGGAAAATGATTCAAAATCTATAAATTTTTTTCACCTTTATTTCTAATTACTTATATTTATTAAATAATAAAAATAATAAATTGAATATCTTTTGATAATTTTTAAATAATAATAAATATAATTTATTTGTTTTATGATGATTTATTAAATTATTATAATATAATAAAGAGTATATATATATATGCGTGTGTGTTTGTGTGTTGATGTATTAATAACAAACATCTAAAAAAAATATCTAAAAAAAATATGTAATTTAATTTGATGATGAATTCCATCCTACATCTCCCATATTTTCAACAACTGTTGTAGAACTACTGTTTGAACTAGTCGAACTAATTGTTGATTTCACACTTCCTGTATTATTTGAATTACTTCCACCGCCTCCTAAATTTGACAATATTATCATCGGGTCAATAGATTTTAATTCTTCTTTAAGTGTATTTCTTGCTAATGAATCTATTTCTTTGGTTATCAATGCAACTATTTTCTATTAATATAACAGCAACAAAACATTGTAAATAATGATTGATTGATCAATTATTTAGTTATTTTGAATAGATGGTTGACCAAACCTTAAATTTGCTATCAACTTTTAATACAGTTTCTGTAAATGAGGTTGAAAGATGATTGTTGTTGTTGTTGTTGTTATTATTATTATTATTATTATTAGCAGCAATTCCTACTAATAATTTATTATAAACTTCTACAAGGATATCACATAAAGTATAAAAGGTTTGAAAATAATCTAAATCAAAAGGCTTTTTATTATTGCAGTAAAATTTTATTATTAATTAATATAGTGAACGAAAATCAAATAATGAACATGAAAACTTGAATCTGCTTACTATATTTGGCACAAATAAATAATTGTATTCTCCAGTATCTTGAAATGATGTATCATCATCTTTTACTATTTTTGACTTTCTCAAAAAATTTTTCTTTAACGCAAAAAAATTAAAAATGAATAATTGCACACATAACATTAATGATCGAATAAATTAATTAAATGATAATAATACCATTTTTTGTTTAGTATGTTCGTTAGTGTGATAATCAAATTCTTGCAACATAACATTTAAGGCTTTAACATAATCTTGTGGATTAGTTATATCCAGTATTGGTGCTAATGATGTGCCTAAAACAAAAAAATTTCCTGTCCTTTAATAAATAAAATATATTTTTTAGAAAGTTGCATTAATTGCAATTTATTCAATTCTCATGTCTATATTGAAATTATCGTTATTTCCTTTGCTTTTTTTTAATTAATTTTGCACACAAACCTTTTTTTCATTCTCATATTCTCGTACATAATTGATAAATCTTCTTTGTTTAAACATACTGTATTAAGCCAATGTATTCTACCTTCGTGAACCTGTTTTAAATACGTAAAAGTTGTGACCCGTTTTTGAACCAGCTCATATAAAAAGTCATATGTTGAACTAGAATTAAGGTAATCTGTTTGTGAAGAGATTCGTAGGGCTGGTTGTGGGAAAGGTGCCTGTGGCATGATCATAGTTCCGTTTACATTAGTTCCATTTGTTGTCGATGATGCTGAAGAAGCGATTGTTTTATCCATTATTATAATTCTTTCGAAAGAAAAAATATAAAAGTAGTTCAACCAAAATAATTATAAACTGTACACGTGACTAAAAATGTCAATATGTCACACAAACTAATAGTAATAGTGTGTTCATAGGCAGAAGTTTGTCTGATTGGCTAATTTTGCCGATCAATTTCAATTGAGTTCGCATATTATTTATATAGTTT